CTCCCTCCCGCCCCCTCCCCATTACCTTGCCCGTGGGCTTCGTCGCCGCGGCCGCGGGGCTTCCGAGCTGGGGCGCCGCAGGGAAAGCCGAAGAGCCGGCGTCAGCGGCGTCCCGCACCCGCGGAGCAGCCCGCAGCTCGGGATGGAGCGAGCCGGGGGTGGGAGCGAGGGCGAGGCCGGCTCCCGGCTGGTGGAGATTCTACTCTGCTCGTCCCTCGCACTCCGCTTCCGCTCCGCCTCCCGGCCCGGCCCTTCCCCCACGCCGGGGGCAGCCGCCCGCGGCGCGCGGCATTGTGGGGGATGTAGTCCCGGAGCGAGGACCGGGCGGCACGTGCCGCTGCTCCCGCCCCACACCCACTCCGGGTCAGGGCGACGCGGTTGCGCGGCAACCGGAGACGGCGGCCGGCTCCTGCCTCCGGGTTGGAGGAGGAGCCTGCGAGAGGCGTTCCCGCTGCCTCCACTCGCGGCGGGCTCTGGGAGGGGGGCGTGGGCGTCTTGCTCAGACAGTCCAGCAGGGAACAGACCCTCCCGCGGCTGTTGACCTGAGCCTGGCGAGTTTAGCGGTGATTAAGAGTAATGCGGGTGACAATGCCCGTGATCGCCACTGAGGGTCCTCAGCCACTGGAGCAAGGCCAGGAAAGCTAAAGGACTCGAAGATTAAACAGGAAGAAACACAATTATTTTTTCATAATTGCATATAATTATGCATGTGGCAAATCCATACAAATCTACAGATAAACTATGGCTGTTAATAACAGTTTTTAAAAGTTAATCGGTGCAGAAATCATGTTTTTAAAAAATTAATAGTTTTATATGCTAACAGAAGAGAAAATAATTTGTTTTAAAGATACCGTTACAAATATCAAGTACCTAGGGATAAATCAATCAAGGAAGTGCACAACCAGTCTGAAGAAAACATTAAAAGACATTGAAGACGATCTAAATAAATAAAGGATATAGCCAAGCATCCTGGCTCATGCCTGTAATCCTAGCACTTCGGGAGGCCAAGGCGAGAGGGTTGCCTAAGTCCAGAAGGACAACACATAAATCACGAAATTAGCCGAGCATGGTGGTGCATGCCTGTAGTCCCAGCTACTTGGGAGGCTGAGGGAGAAGGATTGCCTGAGCCCAGTGGGTAAAGGCTGCTGTAGCCATGAGCATGCCACTGCACTCCAGCCTCCGCAACAGAGTGAGATTCCAACTCGATAAAATAATAAAATAATGAAATGAAATGAAATGTAAAGTAAAATAAAATAAATAATGAAATAAAATATAAAATAAAATAAATGTTCAATACTGAAAGATGTTGAATTTCTCCAAATCTAAATGTAGGACCACTGCAATTCCAGACAAATTGTCAGTAGATTTGTAGCTGACAAGCTACTTTTATGGAAGAGTAAAAAATGTTATGGAAGGAAAAAAAAAAGGAGAAGGGAGGGGGAGGATGAAGACTCCTGCTACCAGTTATGAAGTTTTATTATAAAGCTGTCAATCTAAATAACAGAGAGGGTCTCTAAAAGGAAGAAATGTATTTGGGAACAGGGTATTGCAATGAGAATACGCATGCCATACTAAACTATGTGTGTATTGAGGGAGGTAAAGGAAGACAAAAGCTTTTAAAGAAAAAAATGAGAGTTATATAATTGTTTTGAAATTATTATCCTTGGCTATAAGGATCAATAACGGGAACTCTAGTCTGAGATTGGACAGGCAGTTGCCAGGCAGATGTTCTTGCTCAAGTGCTTTTTGGGTAAGGTTGCAATGATTTTCACGTAAAGTTGTGGTTTTTGCAGTCTTTTGTGGTCCTATTGTTATCAGGCATCCAAGCATGAGAACCATTCCTTCTTAGCCTTCCCCAGCTCTATTTTTCAAGATTTTTTTTCTTTTAATCCATTACTTCATTTTTATTCTGACAACCTTCCCCTTTCCCCCTTTTGTTCAAGATCTTTCTCTGAAGGCATCACTGAACAATCGTTTTTTCATTAGGTCTTGATGTCCCTCGCTACCATTATGGACCTGTCATGGTTGCTGGTCTCATCCTATATTGGGAGGAGTGATCGGTCACTAGGAGTCAACGTCAAAACCCTTTTAGCCATATTTGAGCAACAAGGGAAGTTTGAAGGAAGTGGTTCTCAAGCTAAGTCTTCTGGAGTTTTTAATAAAGTTCAGTTGTATTTGTTCTGTAGTCTTTTGCTATCATCTCAAAGCACTATTCGTTAGATGTTGTACTTCCTCAAAAATTTAACAAGTAACAGATACGGAGTTTAAAAAGGGAAAATGCAAAGTAAAATGAAAATCTGTTTGCCTGATAGTTTTGAGTCATGAACCTAGGTTCAACCAATTAAATAAATAAAATGACTGTAGGGAATTAGTGAAACCTGTTGTAACCATGTGGTTTGTTTTCTTATTTTGTGCATGGGGGGGAGGGCTCAACATTCCCAGAGGAATTTACCTAAGTATAGCATGTAGAATTAGCAATAGCACAGACATTTCCTTATTTAACCAATACTGAAAGCTCTCTCAGGTCAGGTTCTGTCAAGTTACTAGCAGAAGCTACTGTTTGTTAAATTCAATTATACCATTATCCTACCAAGTGAAAAAGGTAGCACTGAGGGGAGTAAAAGTCTCATGATATGAGGTCTTATTCCAACATCTTGGGAAAAACTCCAGTGTGAAAACATCAGCTTCTTGTCCTGGTTTGTGGTTTGAATGTCTTTGGTCATGACATTGGGCAGTTTGGTGAACTTTTTGTGTGGCCCATTCATCAGGAACAAGTCTTGCTCTTTAAGCTTCATCTGGTTTTAGCATATAAGGCTTCTTTAGAAACAGCAGTTTCCATTTTTTATAATAGGTAAAAAAGACTGGAATGGCAGAGTCTAGGAGAATTCAAGATTTAGTCCAGTCTACAGGTAGATAACAAGAACTTGTAAAAAACAATGCACAGGGCTACAATCTAATAACAGATGTATTACAGCTTTTCTGTGGAAGCATTTTTTTCTCTCTACATTGACCACATAGGAATCTCAGATTTAAAAACATTTTGAGACTAGATTTTAGTTACAGCCTTAAAGTTCCTGAGCCTGCCATAAAGTGACAATTTTTACTCACTCACTGTAAGGCTAGATACATTTGAGGCTAGGCATTCTATGCACATTCTCAAATATAACACTGCAATCAAAACCTTGGTAATATAATCAGTGTTTCCAATTGTATTCTGCTATGAAGAGAGAGCAGATTTTTAATAAACTCGCACAAATAACCATATTGTCATTAAAAAAATAATACAAATAGGGTGAGTGCAGGGGCTCACACCTATAATCCCAGTAATTTGGGAGGCTGAGGCAGTAGAATCGCCCAAGAGTTCAAGACCAGCCTAGGCAACATAGTAAGACCTTGTCTCTACAAAACATTTTTTTTTTTAGTTGGAATCACTCTGCTGTCCAGGCTGGAGTGCAATGGCACACATGGCCACCGCAGCCTCAACCTGCTGGTCAAGGCTCAGGTGATCCTTCCGCCACAGCCTTCCAAGTAGCTGGAACCACAGGCGTGTGTCACCATACCCAGCTAATTTTTTGATTTATTCTAGAGACAAGGTCTCACCAAGTTCCCAGGCTGGTCTCAAATCGCTGAACTCAGGCAGTCCTCTCACCTCCACCTCCCAAAGTGCTGGAATTACAGGTGTGAGCCACCACACCCAGCCAGCACATTAATTTTTAATGGAACACTCCTGTAGTCCCAGTTCCTGGGGGTGGGAGGTGATCCCAGGAAGTTGAGGCCACAGTAAGCCAGTATCACGCCACTACACAACAGCCGGGACACAGATAGGACTCTGTCTCAAAATAATAATATTAATAGTAATAATATTCACAAATAGTTTCTGAATTTTGAAGGAATCAAGTAGGAAGAAAAAATAAACAATTCCATCTTTGTTCACAAAAGTATACTTCACCAGATTGTTGTAAACTATGGATAGTTGGATAGTTTAGGAGAGAAATTTTTCTTAAATCTGGAAAACAAAACATTTAAGTAAAGAATAATGTTTCAAATGACAATCATAAAAACCTTATCTTTATTAGTTATTCAATCTCATGTATTTAATTTTGTTCTGATTAACAGTTTCATGAACTCATCAGTTTTAGAAACGTGCATGAGAGCCAGGCTCGGTGGTTCAGCCTGTAATCCCGTGCCTTTGGGAGGCTGAGGTGAGTGGATTGCCTGAGCACGCGGGTTCAAGACCCACCTGGGCAGCGAGACCTCATCTCTACAATAAATCAAAAAATCCCGGGTGTGGTAGCGCATGCCTGTATACTCGAAAGGCTGAGGTGGAAGGATCGCCGGAGCCCAGCAGGTCAAGGCTGTGGTGGCCGGGAGCGGCCACTACACTCCAGTCTGGGCGACGGAGTGAGACTCCAACTCAAAAAAAAAAAAAAAAAAAGAAATGTGCATGAGAATGGGCCATAATATGTAGTCAACTGAAGTCAGAAGATCTGGCATATTTTAATGTTTGAAAAATCCCATTACATTTCTTATTAATCTCTCAAGAGCAAGGAAAATCTTATAAATCCTATAAAAGAACATCAAAAGTTTGGCCCAGTGTTTTCGATGGTAGCAAGCACCCTAGTGGCTTTTAATTAGCCATCCTGTGTCCATTATTTAGAATGTTTATGTTTGCTCTTGGAAGATTTTCAGAAACACACAAAGGGAAATTGCTGAATCAAATGTGTGTAACCAAAATAAAACCAAGATAAGAATGTGCATACAAATTTTAACCCAGGCATGTGGGTCAAACAAAATATTAAACAAAGACCAAAAGTGAATTCGCCAGAGACGTGCCTCACAGACAGAATGTAAATTCTGTAGAAATTGGAGTATTCAAACCCCGAAAGATGCTTGCCTTTATACCAGAAAGGACTTACCAGAAAATACAAAAAGCCTGTTATGATCCCAGGTAGAATGTAAGGTCCTTCATTTAAGGAGGCCTTATCCAAATCAGATCCCAAATAACATCATGAGCTTCTTCCAAAAAGAGGGAGTCTTGGCCTTCGAGAAGACTCACCAGAGCAGAAAAGATGAGCCATTGAAGCAGTGAGCTTGAAGGGCTTGAGAGAACACTGCACAAGATCCAGGCATCGCCAGTTCCTCAAGTTAGTGATCATTTGTCAGGTCCTGTGTCTGGATGTGTCTTTATGTCATCCTAAATAACATACAAAGAGAGGCTCTCTAAAAGAAAAAAATA